AACACAGATGCTCGCTCAATTAGGCTGCCTCTAAAATACCTCAGGCCATTGGCAAGTCAGAATTTTAATATATATGGAAATTCTATTCTTAGTGTTAGTACTTAAGCACTTCAGGCTTCTGTTTTTATTCTTCTTTGTAGTCTTTTAAAGACCATTTGGAATTTACTGAGACTTCTTTTATGGCCTTACATGTAGATGGCCTATCATGGTGAGTATAACGTGGACTTTTGAGGATGATGATTCTTTTTTTATTGATTTTAGAGAGAGGAAGGGGTGGGGAAAAGGAGAGAGAGAAAAACATCAATGTGAGAGAGAAACATCAATCAGTTGCCTTCCTTTTGTGCCCCAACTAGAGATTGAACCTGCAACCTGGTTATATGCCCTGACCAGGAATCGAACCTGCCACCTTTCAGTGTATGAGAAAAGATTCCAACCAATTGAGCCACACCAGCCAGCGCTCACTTTATATTTCTGTATTAACAGCATATAGTTAGGTCTGTCTGTTTTTTTGGTTTTTTTTAACCAGTCTGATTTTTAATAGTGTTTATTCGATTTATATTTAATGTAATTATTTATATGATTGTGTTTTCTGTCTTTTTCTTAACAGCATAATTGAGATATAGCTCATATACCATACAATTCACCCATTTAAAGTGTACAATTCAGTGGTTTTTATTATATTCACAAATATGTGCAACCATCACCACTGTCAATTATAGAACATTTTCACCACCCTAAAAAGTAATCCTGTATGCTTTAGCTATCACCCACTTATTTCCCCCAACCCTCGTCCCCACACCAAGCCCCAGGAAACCAGTAATTTGTTTTCTTTCTCTATAGAGTTCCATGTTCTGGATATTTCTTGTAAATGGTATCATATAATATAGTCTTTTGTAACTGGCTTCTTTCACTTAATATTTTCAAGTTTTATCCACGTTGATGTGTCAATACTTTTTCCCTCCACTTTCTTTAGAGCAATTTTAGGTTCACAGCAAAACTGAATGAAAAGTGCAGAGTTCCCACATACCCCTTCTCCTCAACCACAGCCTCCCCCATAATCCCACACATCCCATACCAGTATGGTACAGTGTGATACCAGATTGTTACAATCAACAAACCAACATTGACACATCATTATCAAACAAAGTCCATAATTTGCATTAAGGTTCATTAATTTTGGCTGAAAAATGTTCTATTGTATGGATATATGATTGAGTTTATTTTTTATTTATTTTTTAATTCTCACCCAAGGTTATGTTTTTATGTATTTCTTTTAGAGAGAGAGGAAAGGGGAGAGAGAGAGAGAGTGAAACATCAGTTCTGTTGCCTCCTGTATGCACCCTGACCTGGACTGAACCCGCAACCTAGGTATGTGCCCTATCCGGGAATTGAACTCACAACCTTTTGGTGCCCTGGACGATGCTCCAACAACTGAGCCATCTGGCCAGGGCTATGGTTGAGTTTAAATCTACCATATTGCCATTTGATTTCTGTTTCTCCCATCAGTCCACTGTTCCATTTTTATTGCCTTCTGTTGAATCAGTTGAGGGTTTGTTTTTTTAATCCTCACCTGAGGATATGTTTACTGATTTTAGAGTGAGGACCAGGGGGCAGGGAGAGAGAGAGAGAGAAGCATCAATGTGAGAGAAACATCAATCAGTTATCTCCCACACTCTCCCCAGCTGGGGTCAGAACCCACAACCCAGGCATGTGCCCCAACCGGGAGTCAAACCTGAATCCCTTTGGTATATGGGACAATGCGCCAACCAACTGAGTCACACTAGCCAGGGCTCAGTTGAGGATTTTATTAGTGTTCTGTTTTATTGATCTAATTGGCTTTTTACGTATATCTCTTTATTTAATAATTTTAATGAATCACATTATGTATTCTTAACTTACCATGGTCTGCCATGAATTAGTATTAAACATCTTTGTATATAATGTAAGAACTTTATCCCCTTCTATCCTTTGACCCAATAAGGTTATGATTTTCTCCATGAGAAGTAGCCACTCTGTATCACCTGGACTGAGAAGTACCCACAGGTGAAAAGATATGTAACTGTGAGTCTCACTCATATGGTTCCGTTTACTCAAGAGCCGAATTGCCTCTGGTTTCTACCTGCTTTTGGTGGCTGTCTAATTTCTTAAGAATTGTTTTTATTTATCCAGTGTTTTGTATTGCTGTTTGTGGGACAGTTTGTCCAATAAAATCGATTCCACCATTATCAGAAGTGGAATTCCCATTTTGTCATTTTTATTTTTATTTATTTAATTGAGAGAGCGTGGAGGGGAGAGGGAGAGAGAAACATCGACATCCTTTCCAATACTTGACAGTGTTAAATTTCTTTTGCCAACTGATGAAATATAAAATGGTATCACACTGTCTTAAATTTCTTAATACATTAAGCATCTCTTAGTATTTTCATTGATAAAAATGTTATAGGTCTGTTAATGCTGTCACCCCTTCCATTTTTTATTGATTTGTAGGAATCTATATTTGGAAACCACCGAACTTGACCACCTGTACCTTGACTACTTTTAATTTATTAAAGAGATCTTTGACCTGTGAATCTGTCATTCTCCTTGACCACCCTATTTAATTTGCAAACCCCTCCAAACCCCTGACCCCCTTATCCTGTTCCATTTTTAGCCCTTAGCACCTACCACCTTTTCCATATTATATACATATTTATTGTGTGTATTGTCTGTCCTCTCCTTACTGTTACATGTAGGGTGTTATGTGATAAGTTTAGAGATCAAGAGTAAACATTTATAAGCTTTTTTAACAGTGAAATATTGTCATCATAGTTTTATGATATTAAACAAAGGGTTGGTCTCTAAAGAATTGGAAATATTTTTAAAAATTGGTTCTCCACTACTTTGAAAAGCATGGCCTAGATTCTCATGCCTCCCTGCCATAGCATTTGAAAGGCTCTGAACAGAACAGAAAAGTAGATAACTACCTGTGATACTTGGAAGTGTCCGTGCTCTACATGAAATATAGTTGCTAACAAAGATGGATATTTGTTTTTCTAATTTGGTGAGGCAGGGAGAGTTTTTTTCACTGTGAGCATTACTTTATTTTATTAGCATTTCCCATGTTTATAGCTGAGCCTGACATGTGTCCCTTTATATATGTCTCATGGTATCTAGAGAGCTTTGAAGTGCAACTTTTAAAATGAAAGGGAATGCAAGCCACTTAATTATATGAAAGTAAAGGACTGAAGGCTGTTGGGCTTAATCCTTTATGTTCTCAGTTTTCACGTTTTAAGTCTTCCAGCCTGAAATGTGATTATTAAATCTGTGCCCTACCTCTCTGAAGTAGCTAAATGTGCAAGTAAATTTTTGAGAGCTACCTAGGCTCATAACCTTGCTGGTTAACCCCCTGATTTCTGGGTAACTATAAATGCATACCTTGGGTATTTTTGTGATGTAGTATTTCCACATAACATGGCATTGGTATTTTATACCTTCTGAAGTGAGTGAAGTTCTGGGAAATTCTTAGATGACATCTATAAAACTATAAAATCAAAGTAATATTTCACATTGATTAAATGGCATATTATTAAAATGAATGTACATAAAGAACTAACCCAACAAGCTCTTTATCAGAACTGTAAATATGTTTGTAGAAACATAAAATGGTAAGTGAGATCTGGCTGCTTGGAGACAAAGGGCAAAGGTTTCTGTTGAACAGCATACCCTTTAATTCCCAGGTATTTGTTACATCACAGCATCTGCAAAGTAGCAAGAGCCTTAGTTAGGCCTGTGGGGAGTGTTTGTATGGGTACTTAGTCTGGTACCTGAAATACATTAATTAATATTGAAAACCACATGATTTGACTTTTATGTGCTATGACCAAATTTCTTACAAGGCTAATTTCAGTCTATTTTTTTAAATACGTAAAAGAGTGAGTAGATTGTGACAGTTTCGGCATAAACCTGTCTTTCAGATAGAATCAGATAAGCAAATCCAATATTGTAGTGGAAATCAGACCAAGGTTAAAAACTGGCCTTTGCTATATTTACTTGGCGTGTTTCCTTGTAAAAGTCAACAAACGTCTTTGATTTCATTTATAAAATGGAGGTGAATTTATTCATTTAATAGAGTTGTCATGATTAAGGATTATGGATAATTTATGTAATTGTATAGGGACCACTATAGGCACTCAATAAATGGTAGCTATTGTTATCTTAAAAAATAGCAGTAGCCTGGCCGGCATGGCTCAGTGGTTGAGCACTGACCTATGATCTAGAGGATTGCCGTTCAATTCCCGGTCAGGGCACATGCTCGGGTTTCAGGCTCAACCTCCAATAGGGGCTGTGCAGGAGGCAGCCGATTAATGATTCTCTCATCATTGATGTTTCTATCTCTCCCTTTCCCTTCCTCTCTGTGAAATCAATAAGAACATATTTTAGAAAATGGCAGATTTGTGTGTGTTTAGTGTGTGTGTATATATATATACATACATACATACATACATACATATATATATATATATATATATACACACACATGTATACAATGAGAACCATTTTCTTAGACAGGTCTTATGGTAATCCTTATACAGAAAAAAAGGAGCAAAATTAAGAGGGTAGAGATTGGGTGGGGCTGGAACAGGGAGGGAGAGAGGTCTTGTCTACCCAGCATTCCTCAGGGCCCTGAGCAAGTTTCCACAGCCATCCCTGATACTCTTCACGGAGACCTAGAGCTCAACAGAGTGCAGCACAGAAAGCATTCTACTGGGTTTTAAACAACTTGAGTGCAAGAACTGAACCTCACTTGTTTTATTAACTGACACAGGTATATCATGTGGTCTTGCAGTATAGTGACAATTTGCCGCAGCTTGTTAAATGGTCCAGTTAATTCAGCTTTACTACTTCAGAAATTCTTCATATTTGCCTGCTAGGTGGAGTTATCATTTGAGGTTGAATTATCAAACCTGCCAGGAAGCATGCATCATTTAAAGGATGTAATGATAACATCATTATTTTTTCAGACCTAGGTCGGAATTTGCCCTTGACAAATAACAAAATGATGAGTGATGCAAGTGACATGTTGGCTGCGGCGCTGGAGCAGATGGATGGTATTATAGCAGGTAATATGCATCCTCTAAAATATGGAATCCTGCCATTTATTCTACTGTCTTGGCTTTTTCATCACAACCATTTTATTACCTTTCCACGTTCTTATTTTCATTTATTGGCTCTCTCCAATGCCTTTAGGTTCCCTATGGTTTCATCCTTGACTCTCTTTTCCGTTTTCTTCCAGGATTTTTATTTTTATTTTTAAATTTTCAATTACAGTTCACGTTCAATATTATTTTATATTAGTTTCAGGTATACAGCATAGTGTTTAGACAAATATATACTTTATGAAGTGATCCCCAATAATTCTAGTAGCCACCTGGCACCATACATAGTTATTATAATCTCATTGACTGTATTCCCTATACTATACTTTACATCCCCTTGACTATTTGGCAACTACCAATGTGTACTTAGTCCCTTCCTCTTTTTCACCCAGCCCCACAACCCACCTCTGCTGTGACAGCTGCCAGTCTGTTCTGTGTATGTGTGAGTCTGTTTCTGTTTTGTTTATTAATTATTTTGTTCATTAGACTCCACATATAAGTGAAATCATATGGTACTTGACTTTCTCTGACTGATTTATTTCACTTAGCGTATTACCCTCCAAGTCTATCCATGTTGTCATAAATGGTAAGACTTCATTTTTTATGGCCAAGTAATAGTCCATTGTATATATGTATCACATCTTCGTTATCCAGTCATCTGTTGATGGGCACTTGGGTTGCTTGCATGTCTTGGCTATTGTAAATACTGCTGCAATGAACATAGGGGTATTAGTGTTGAACTGAATTAGTGTTTTGGATTTTTCAGATATATATCAAGAATTATAATTGCTGGATCATAAGGTAGCTATATTTTTTATTTTTTTGAGGAAATTCCAAACTGTTTTCCATATTGGCTGCACCAATTTCAATCCCACCAACAGTGTGGGAGGGTTCCCTTTTCTTCACTTCCTCACCAACATTTGTTCTTTGTTGATTTATAGATGATAGCCATTCTGACAGGGGTGAGGTGATATTTCATTGTGGCTTTAATTTGCATTTCTTTGATTAGTGACATTGAGCATCATTTCATATGTCTATTGGTCATCTATGTGTTCTCTTTGGAGAAGTGTCTATTCAGACCTCTGCCCATTTTTTAATTGGATAGTTTGGGTTTTTTTGGTGTTAAGATGTATGAGTTCTTTATACGTTTTGCGTATAAACCCCTTATTGGATGTATCATTGGCAAATACCTTCTTCCATTCAGTAGGTTTTCTTTTCATTTTGTTATTTGTTATCTTTGTTGTGAAGTCCCATTTGTTTATTTATTTATTTATTCTTTAATTTATCTTTATTGTTGAAAGTATTACAGATGTCCCCTTTTATTCCCCATTGACCCCCTCCACCCTGCACCTGCCCCCTGCCCCAGACCTTCACCACACTATTGTCTGTGTCCATGGGTTATGCATATATGCATGTAAATTCTTTGGTTAATCTTTTCCCACCTGCCCCTGCCTTCCCTTTGAGATTCTTCAATCTGTTCCATGCTTCTGTGTCTCTGGATCTTTTTTGTTCATCAGTTTATTTTTATCTTTAAGCTCCACATATGAGTGAGATCATGTGATACTTGTCTTTCTCTGACTAGCTTATTTCACTTAGCATAATACTCTCCAGATCCCTCCATGCTGTCTCAAAGGGTAAGATATCCTTTTTTACAGCTGCATAGTATTCCACGGCATAAATGCCCCACAGCTTTTTTATCCACTCATCTACTGATGGGCGCTTGGGCTGTTTCCAGACCTTAGCTTTTGTAAATTGTGCTACTATGAACATAGGGGTGCATAAGTTCTTTCTGATTGGTGTTTCAGGATTCTTAGGATATATTCCTAGAGGTGGGATCACTGGGTGAAATGGCAGCTCCATATTTAATTTTTAAAAAAATATGTCTTTATTGATTTTAGAGAGAGGGAGGGAGAGGGGGAGAGAGAGATAGAAACATCAGTGATGAGAGAGTTATGGATCAGCTGCTTCCTGCCTGCCCCCTACTGGGTATTGAGCTGCAACTGAGGCATGTGCCTTGACCAGGAATCGAACCACACAATCTCCTGGATCATAGGTTGATGCTTAATTGCTGAGCCAAGCCGGCTGGGCTCAATATTTAATTTTTTGAGGAAACTCCATACAGTTTTCCATAGTGGCTGCGCCAGTCTGCATTCCCACCAGCAGTGTCCTGGGGTTCCCTTTTCTCCACATCCTCGCCAGCACTTGACATTCGTTTCTTTGTTGATGGTAGCCATTCTGACAGGTGTGACATGATACCTCATTGTCATTTTAATTTGCATCTCTCTGATGATTAGTGACTTTGAGCATTTTTTCATATGTCTCTTGATCATATGTATGTTTATTTTTCTTTTGTTTCCCTTACCCAAGAAGATATATCAGAGAAAATATTACTAAGAGTAATGTCAGAGAGTTTACTGCCTATGTTTTCTTCTAGGAGTTTTATGTTTCTGGTCTTACACTTAAGTCCTTAATCTATTTTGAGTTTATTCTTGTATATGGTATAAGAAGATGGTCTAGTTTTACTTTTTTTTATGTATCTGTCTATTTTTCCGACAACATTTACCGAATAGACCATCTTTACTGTGTTGTATATTCTTGCTTCCTTGTCATATATTAATTGACCATTTGATGTGGATTTATCCTGGCTTTCTATTCTGTTTCGTTGATTTATATGTCTGTTTTTATACCAGTACAATGCTGTCTTGATTACTATGGCCTTGTAGTATAATTTGATGTAGTTGGAGGTAGCATAATACCTCCAACTTTATTCTTTCTGTAGCTATTTGGGGTCTTTTATGGTTCCATATAAATTTTACAATTATTTGTTCATGTTCTGTGAAAAATACCACTAGTATTTTGATAGGGATTGTATTGAATCTATACATTGCTTTGTGTATTATAGACATTTTTAATGATGAGCATGATATATGATTCCATTTATTTATATCTTCTTAAATTTTCCTCTTCGGTGTCTTACAATTTTCCTAGTATAGGTCTTTTACCTCCTTGGTTAAATTTTTTCCTAAGTATTTATGCAATTGTAAGTGGAATTGTTTTCTTAATTTCTCTTTCTGATAGTTCATTATTGCTGTATAAAAATGCAACTCATTTCTGAGTATTCATTTTGTATCCTGCTGCTTTACTGAATTTACCAGTTCTAGTTTTATTGGCAGATTCTTTAGGGATCTCTCTCTATAGTATTGTGTCATGTGCAGATAATGACAATTTTACTTCTTTCTTTCTAATGTGGATGCCTTTTATTTCTTTTTCTTACTTGATTACTTTGGCTAGGATTTCCAATACTCTGTTGAATAAAAGTGGAGAAAGTGGACAACCTTGTCTTGTTCCTAATCGTAAGGAAAATGCTTTTAGCTTTTCCCCATTGAGTATGATGTTAGCTGTGAGTTTGTTATATGTGGCCTTTGTCATGTGTAGGCATGTTCCCTCTATTACTGCTTTGCTGAAGGTTTTTGTAATAATCGATGCTGGATTTTGTCCTATGCTTTTCGGCATCTATTGATACGATCATGCGATTTTTATCCTTCATTTTGTTTATGTGGTAATCACACTAATTGATTTGCAGATAGAAAACCAACCTTGCATCCCAGGAATAAATCCCACTTGATTATGGTGTATGGTCTTTTTTATGTATTGCTGAATTCAGTTTGCTAATATTTTGTTGAGAATTTTTGAATCTATGTTACCAAGACTATTGGCCTATAGTTGTGTGTGTGTGTGTGTGTGTCTTTGTCTGATTTTGGAATCAGGGTAATAGTGGCCTTGTAAAATGAGCTTGGGAACCTTCCCTATACTTGAAATTTTAGGAGTAGTTTGAGAAGGATAGATGTTAATTCTTTTTTGAATGTTTGGTAAAATTTACCTTTGAAGCCGTCTAGTCCAGGACTTTCATTTGTTGGAAGTTTTTTGATTACCTGATTTGATTTTGTTAGTAGTAATAAGTCTGTTTGGATTTTCTGTTTCTTCTTGATCTAGTTTTGGAATATTGTTTGTTTCTAGGAATTTATCCATTTCTTCCAGATTGTTTAATTTCTTGTCATATAACTGTTTGTAGGATATTCTTATAATCTTTTGTATTTCTGTGGTGTCAGTTGTCACTTCTCTTTTGTGTCTGCTTTAATTTATTTGGGTCTTCTCTTTTTTATTTATGAGTATTTTTAAAGGTTTATCAACCTTGTTTACCTTTTCAAAGAACCAGCTCTTGGCTTCATTAATCTTTTGTATTTTTTTAAGACTCTATTTTGTTTATTTTCACTCTGATTTTTATTATTTCCTTCCTTCTATTTACTTTAGGCTTTGTTTGTTTTGTTTTTCTAATTCCTTTAGGTATAAGGTTAGGTTGTTTATATGTGATTTTTTTTGTTTCTTTCTTTTTTAAAACATTTGAATCTCAGGAAAACAACAAATACTTTGTTAGTATATTTGTTCCCAATATTGCATAGGATGTACTTAATACTATAAAATTGTTTGTTTTTTTAAAATTTTTAATCAATTACAGTTGACATATAGATTATAATATTAGTTTTAGGTGTATACCCCAGTGAGTAGACATTTCATAACTCACCAAGTGATCATCCCGATAAATCTTGTACCCATCTGACTCCATACGTAGTTATTAGAATATGATTGGCTATATTCCCTATGCTTTATTTTACAACCCCATGACTATTCTCTAACTACAAATTTGTATTTCTTAACCCCGTCACCTTTTTCACCCAGTCCCTCAACCCCCTCCCATCTGGCAAACATGAAAATGTTCTCTGTATCTGTGAGTCTGTTTCTGTTCTGCTTATTCATTAATTTTGGTTTTTTAGAGTCAGTCATTGATAGATGTGTATTTATTGCCACTTTATTATTCATATTTTTTATCTTTTTCTTCTTCTTCTTAAAGAAGACCCTTTAACATTTCATGTAACACTGGTTTGGTGGTGATGAACTCCTTTAGCTTTTTCTTGTCTGGCAATCTCTTTATCTCTCCTTCAATTTTATTTCTTTTTTATTTATTTAAAATATATCTTTATTGATTTCAGAGAGGAAAGGGAAGGGAAAGAGAGAGATAGAAACATCAATGATGAGAGAGTCATTGATCAGCTAGCCCGCAACCCGGGCATGTGCCCTTACCGATCGCCCGGATCCTAGGTCGATACTCAACCGCTGAGCCATGCCCGGCCAGGGTCTCCTTCAGTTTTTTGCTGGGTAGAGTAATCTGGTTGTAGTTCCTTGCTTTTCATTACTTTGAATATTTTGAGTCAACTCCTTCTGGCCTGCAAGGTTTTGTTTTGTTTTGTTTTTTTAAATATACCTTTATTGATTTCAGAGAGAGGAAAGGAGAGGTAGAGAGAGATAGAAACATCAATGATGAGAGAGTCATTGATCGAGCCCATGGCCTGGGCATGTGCCCTGACCGGGAATCGAACCCCGATCACCTGGATCCTAGGTCGACACTCAACCGCTGAGCCACGCCCAGCCGGGCGCAAGGTTTTTGTTAAGAAATTTCCTCATAGTTTTATGGGGGTTCCCTTGTAGGTAACTGTCTTTCCTTTGCTGCTTTTAAGATTCTGTCTTTGTCTTTGACCTTCGCCATTTTAACTATGATGTGTCTTGGAATGTGCCTCTTTGCATTCGTCGTTTGGGACTCTCTGCAGTACATTGACCTGTATGTCTAGTCTCGTCATTAAGTAAGGGAAGTTTTCAGTCATTTTTTTCAAATAGGCTCTTAATCCTTTGCTCTCTCCCTCCTCCTCCTGATACACTTATGATGCAAATGTTTTTATGCTTGATGTTGTCCCAGAGGTATCTTAAACTATCTTCATAAACAGATGTACACAGGTAATTCATTGCACTTCTTCTGAGATTAAATTCTGGCAGGTTAGTTGGGAGCTAGCCCCTTACCTTTGAAATTATGCTGTGCAATCTCCACCTCAACGTATAGCTTATTTATAGGACAGTTAAAGACTGTGGTTCCTAAAATTTGTGTTTTTTGTAATACATGACTCCACCCAATCTGATCCACTACCTTCTTGACCCCTGTGTCTCTGAGGTTAGCACATTTTACACCAAAGTCCACCATACTCTTACTGTACCACATGGTTGGCAGCCTCCTGTTAGGTATTTGACCACTGATATTAACCATCAGTTATATGGTTTTTATTTTTACACCAAACAGCTATGCCTTGGAGAATTTACATGATCAAATTATCTTTTCCCTGTTTCTTTTTTTCCTCTTTTTATTGAATTTATTGGGGTGACACTGGTTAACACAATTATACAGGTTTCAGATGCATAACTCTACAACATATTATCTGANCATTAGACACTCTGCTTCTGATAACTTCTGATTTTATTTTATTTTTTATTTTTACTGAATTTATTGGGGTGACACTGGTTAACCAAATGATCCAGGTTTAAAGTGTACAATTCTATAATACATCATCTGTACACTGTATTGTGTGTTCACCACCCCAAGCCAAGTCTTTGCCCATCCCCATGTATCCCCCCTTTACTCTTCCACCCACCGCCCTCCTCCCTCCGGCAATCACCACACTGTTGTTCATGTCCATGAGGGTTTTTTTCTTTTCTTTTTTTTCTTTTTTGCTCAATCCCTTCATGCACTGGCCCTACCCACCCTGTGACTGGACTTGCTTGCCACCTTCAGCTTTGGTGTATTACCTAATATAAATCCTGTTACCTTTTCTGTTTTGTTTTTTTTAAACCTAGGTTCTAAGGCCCTAGAATATTCCAATGGGATTTTTGATTGCCAGTCTCCCACCTCCCCGTTCATGGGAAGCTTTCGAGCTCTGCACCTTGTGGAAGACCTGCGTGGACTGTTAGAGATGATGGAAACGGATGAGAAGGAAGGCCTGAGATGTCAGATCCCGGATTCAACAGCAGAAACGCTCATCGAGTGGCTTCAGAGTCAAATGGTAGGTCTCTTTGTGTTACGGCTCCCACGCTGTGAATCTTTTGTTGCATATTCTAACGTTTAGAACATAGAAGAGCCAATGAGAACAAGAAAAAAGATTATAGGGCAACAAGTCTGCCCTAAAGAGATCCCAGTTCCCTTTTGACTCTAAGGATTATTTTTACAAAGTGCTATTTGTGTACATTTCCTAAGGGGCCCAGCAAGTCACGGGACTATTCTTATAAAAGTGAACTAGCTTTTAGATTGTGACCGAATGACCTACTGTGGCTTTGAACATCCTGTAAGAGAAAGGACCTTGCACATAGTAGATGCTCTCTCAGTACTGTTGGGCAGTTCACTGCGAAAGGACCCAATGGCAATTCTAAATGGCAGGCCGTAAGGTGACTGGGCATTCAGAAAGCAAGTGGTGTGTAGCAGTCTTTGATAGGAAGTGCCATCTAGTGGTTTGTGGCGGTCACTTCAATTCCAGTGTGCAAGTTAAGCTGTGTAGTGGGCTTTAAGTGGTACTCAAATTCACTGAACAGTGAAGTCTCTTTCTAGACATCCTTCTCAAAAATTGATGACATGGCCGATCTGCCCTTGTCCCGAACACAATGGTAAATACCATGGTTTTACTATGTGTCAAACACATAAAATCTAAAGAATATCAGAAACACATATTCAAGGGAAAAGATGGGGAAGGTGTTATTTTGTAAGTATTTAAAGGATACTCAGTTTTCAGGGATATACATTAATGAGCTTATGAGTTAACTATGTTTGTATAAAAGCTAATGAACATTGAAAGAATCAAGATCTATGTTTGTATCTGTGGTAGAAAGGGAGCTGTTTGCTTTGGGAACCTTAATACTATATCCTGCAGCTAAAACATGTTCACATGATGTGACACAAATACTAGTGTTCCCAGGCAGTCCCATGCTGAGTATGCTTATGTTCCCAGCCAACATACCTCCCCATTTCTGATCGTATTTTAGTGGTGGTGCAGCCACACAAACTTGACAGTTGGAGGTATTTTATTTTTTTGTAATACATGATGCCTTATTATTATACTTTATATTTGCTCTGTAAGTTTCTTCTGTAGAGATTGAAGTATCCAGGTTTTCTGATTTCTTTAGGGAATTGCTTCATGCTCTAAAATTAGATGTTTCCTAGCATATTCCCTAGGCTATTTCTACTTCCTGTCTCACCGCTTCATTACTCCATATTTTTTTCTGATAATTTATAACATAATGGGAAAGGAATTTACTGTTGATGGAAGAAACTATTCCTAGCTCACGTCCAGAGGGTGTCAGTGGCAGCCATAGCTTAAGGGTACCTGTAGCTGAAGTTTTAACTTGTGTCCAAAAATAAGTGTCCAAAACAAAATCATGTCCAAAAATATTTTCGTTAACATGTGCTCAGTCTGTTCTGTTAATGTCTTCCTGAAGAGTAAAAATGATGGTGATGTTATCTGAATATAAATCAGATCACATCTTTCACTCCTTTTTCAGAAACTTCTCAATGGTAGTCACTCAGAGTAAAAGCCAGATGCTAACTCTGGATTACAAAGCCTTATAGGAGTCGCTCCTCGTTATTTTTTGACCTCATGTCTCATTATACTTCCCCTTTTTCACTTCATTCTAGGCACATCGGCTTCCTCACTGATTCTCAAATAGCCTCACTGATTCTCAGCCGTGCTGGGCAAACTGGCCTCAGGGCCTTTGCACTGGCTATTCACTCTGCCTGGAAAGCTCTTTCTCCAATTTCTTTATAGTTAGTTTTCTCATAGTCTCTGATACTTACTTAAAATTTGTGCCCTCGGTGAGGCCTTCCCTGGCCACCCTATCTAAAATCTTGCATATTCATTCTTTTTATTACATCTCCCTGCTTTATTTTTTCTTAGCATTTACCACTTTCTTATGTACTATAGATTTGCCATGTTTGTATCATTTGTTTTCTCTCTCTCTAACTGGAATGTAAATATAAAGAATCAGAGAATTTTGCCTTGGAGTTAGGTTATAAATTATTCATACATAGTTCACCTTTTTAAAACAAAAGTACAGACATTTTTCAGACTGTGAAGAGCTTCTGTAATATTTTAGAAAAACTTATTAACGATACTAGTTACATAATTAAGATTTCATTCATGTTTAATGATGACAAACTTGAGAGTCCATTACTTAAGACTGATACTAATGTTCTCATTAGTGCAACTGGGTATTTGCAGTTCTAATTATCATTTTACCTGGCCAGGGAGATCCCTTGGTTTCCTGTAGAATGCAGGCCCATTTAATGGTTTCTTAGGATCAGAAGCTGGGTAAAAAAAAAAGACCATAGTAACACTAGTTGCCTGTCATAGTGAAGGGATTTTAAATCAACAAGAATGAATTTGTGTTAACAGGGTGTCTATAGCTGTAGCCTTCTAGGAAAGAAGAAATATTTTTTTAAGATTCAAAAATTTAACACAAATATTAACAATGCTTTAGCAAACTCCTAGTCTGAGAGGGCAAATAGAAAAATATGTTTGTTTGAGCCAAGCAGGTGGTTTTTGCTTACTTTAGATCTAACTTGAGTTGCCCTAATGCTTTTTTTTAATAGACGAAGTTGAGAGGTTCATGACCTTGATCAGGTCATGAAATCCCCAAAGTGTCTGATTATTTGGCAGTTTTAACTATGAGGCAAACTCAGAATCAGCAGAAATTACAAAAATACAACTTTCAACAAGAGTGAGTGAAAATGCTGATGGTAATACCTCCAGATCAGGCATCATAACCCATGAGATAAGTAGAGTATAAATGGGGGAAATAAAGTGTTCTTGGCTGGCTTGACCTGTTAAATCACCACAATGATTAATTTCTTATTTCTACGTTAGAAAATATATTTTATTCAAAGTGTGCCTTTTAAAAAAGGTTTTGTAAAAATAAAAATACTCATAATATAGAGTTCAGACATGGGACATGCTCTCCCCTGTCCCTGACTCTCAGCCACACAAAGTCCATTCCAGTCCCACCATCCTCCGATCCCCGCTGCTCTCTGGCCAGCTTCTCTTCTCATGTGTGCCTCCAGGGAACATTTTTTCAAGCCTTGGCAAACAAAGTACATCTCAAGATTGTATTCCATATGTGGCCACAGTCATCTGGGTTATGCAGCATCCCGTGGAGGCATCCTGGCTAAAGTTGAAGCTGTTTTCTCCTTTGGCTTCTGGTAAACATCTATGAAAAGTGTCCACAGACACAGGAAAAGAAATGGGCCCAGGAGTCAGCAGAATTCTCAATCGAGAGAGGCCAGTGCAGTGTTAGGTGAAAGGTACACTTTCAGTGAAATCCCAAGCTACTGGTATTTGTTTGTATTCAATAGAAAGAGATGTCTATGTTCTTTCATGAAAGTGAGTTAAGAAAGAATAAGTGGCAAGAAGAGTAGGGACATTGTTTTCGGGATCTCGCGTTACCCTCCCCAAAGTAAAAGAGAGATTACTTTGCTAGATCTGCATCCTGTCAATAAATATTGAATAAATGAGTGGATAATGGGCGAATGAATGAACATGGTATGCACCTACAACAGAAGTTGGGCTTTAGCTTCTAGGGACCTTCTGTTCTCTATCCTTCTGTAACTCGGGGACTTTGGAGTATGCCTGTGGCCAGGATAACGTCGTCTCAACATGTACCCCTCTCCCTGGTGCAGAAGCTTTGGGGAGCTTGGTGATGTGGGTGAAAAGAGGCAAGAAGGAGTTAAAGCCCAGCTTCCCCATTCAAGGTGTCTAAAAGAACCTTTTAGGAAACACTAAGGAAATCTATCTAACTCAGCCTGTGTAACTCACCCTGCACGCGCTGGCCGTGGATGCACAAGAGAGGTGCTGTTCGTGCCTGTGTTAGCTGTGTAACAGGATAGCCACTGTATCTTAGCAATTGATATTTTGGGCAACAGATACCCAAATTTTCCAAGGGAAGCTCTCTCAAGGTATTATTTTTTTAAGATTTTAAAATTGATTTTTAGAGAGAGAGGAAGGGAGAGGGGGAGAAAGTGAAACATCGATGTGAGAGCAAAACATCGATCAGCTGCCTCCTGCACGCCCCCTACCAGGGATCGAGCCTGCAACCCGGGCATGTGCCCTGACCGGGAGTCAAACCAGTGACCTTTCGGTGCACAGGATGATACCTAACCAACCGAGGCACACCAGTCAAGGCTCAAGTTATTTCTAATGAGACTGGCTGATGAAAGAACTTGTCATTTGCTTCTCTTGCCAGCATTTCAGATGTAGTTACTTTTTTGGAGTGGTGAGTCTTAGGGGCTGGCCTACTGCTGTGATTTTTCTCACTCCAGAGCACTTGTTTTTTGCTCCAGCTGGCTGTTTAGTTAAGAAGGTGCTGTCTGTCTCTGGAAAACACTGGGAAAATTTAAACTCAGAAAAACAAACCCAGAAATAAAAGCCATAGTCTGATTTCTACCACATCTGCACTCTTGACTTGGAAAGTACGGAATAAATTCAGGCTTATCTGAGTTTCAGTCTTTGATGCTCTATCTGATGACATTGAATAAACTGACGTCTTTTCTAGGAGAGGGTCATGTTTGGGCTTTTGGAGTGTAGTGAAGCATGTGTGAGATTTATTTCCCCTTTGGTTTTTTGTTTTTTGTTTTTTGTGGTGATGGTTTTAGTGGAGATGATGAGATTTTAGAATCAACAGAGAGCTTGCCGAAGAGGCATCCTTATTGCCCTAGCATCTTATTTCCTCTTTTGAACTGCATGTGAAATTTAGGATGGAAAAATAAGTGAGCTGTTTGCAAGACTGACCCAGAGTCAGAGGTGCTGTAAACCGCTTAGAACATTGACCTGGGTTATTAAACACTTAGGCACTTTTTTTAAAAAGTGTATTGGAAGAGAGAGACCCCGCGTGTAGCTGACTCTCACCTAGTCCATTCAGTCTGATGTCTGCGGTAATGGAGGTTCATAGGATGCTGTAACTGGCCTGGGAGTGAGCATGTACTCCAAGGAAGGCTGCTCACGGCAGGCCCCGACTGGACTGCGGCGGACCTGAAGGAAGGAGGAAGAGCGGGCGGGGGGCACAGTCCACACAGAAGGAGCATGGCCCGGCTGTGAGGGAGCGCCTTGCGCCCGGAGGGTCAGAGGGGCCTGCTAGGTGGAGCTCAGGAGCTGGAAAAAGAACAGAGGTGGCAGGCTATTTGCCTGGAGGAGTTTACGTCTCTCCAACATTTGTAAGCAAAGGTAACGAAATTGGCAGAAATATAAATAAGGGTGTGAATAGAATAGACCTTGACCTACTTGAATAAGTCACCACAGTGCTTTAAAAGTGCGTAACTACTCCAGTGGTAGCTCTTAACTTTGGTTTTATGTTCCTATAGTGATTTTTGGTGTTTTTAAAAAAAATTAAAATCCTCCTGAGCATTATGAGCAACTTGTAAATGTTATTTATTAATATTGTTGACAAACGTGAGCACTAATGGTGTTAAGGAACATGAACATTCTCCTTGTGAGCCAATTTTAGGGTGATTTTAGGATGATTTTGTAGAACTGGTTTGGAAACATATTCCCATATCATATGCAGCAGCTTCATCTAGTACTTGCTATGGAAACACTTCAAATCTTGCTCTGATTTCCTTCAGGCAGAAGAAAGACAACTTTTGCTTTGTATCCTCACTGAGCAGAAGGCTTTTTTCCCTACTTAATGAAATGTATTTGTTTATAAAACGTTGCTTGTGTGGGGATTGAAAAGTAGGTGCCTGCTAATATCCTTAATTAAAATGAGGAATTTAAAGCTGTGGAGGGCCAGTCTCAGCACTTGCTTAGATTGAGAACATGCATTATACATCCTGGCTTTTTTCCAAAAAGCTGTCCTCAGAAGTTACATAAATTTCATTTCATGGTAGTCTCCAGGGATGGAAGTTGCCCAGGCCACTCTGCTAGGCTCCTTGTAATACTCGTAATTTAATGCTGGGCACTTCAGTTTACATCGTGAACAGGGTTATGCTGTGGTAGTGGTGCAGGTATGTGGTCAAGATGCTGATGTTAAAAATTTCATCCGTTCAAATACACATTGCATGCTTACTGAATTAGCTCCTGATTTTTTTTGTGGCCTCATGGGAAATTTATCATCCAGTGTGCACAGTTTTTAGAAGAAACACCCTGAATTTTCTTTTTTGTTAAAGCTCCTTTCTGTGTTATTTTTTTTTTCTTCAACACATAATTTTTGTTATTTCCAGAATTTATACTGGAAACTGCATTAATACCAGTTAATTCTGGAAAAATAATAGATGTCACATCAGATATATCCTGGGCAGTAAGGGTGTACAGTTTATATTTACTCTGATTCTAAATCAGAGGTGGTTATTTGCTTTTTTTTTTATTGAACCCTGGATGGCTTCATCTAACCATTTTGGACTCTACTGGCTTTTATTTCTGTTGTATTTGAATGAGGAATCAGGAAATCCTATTGTGATTACATATTATATGGCTGAACTATTTAAATAATGAGATAGCAAGGGACATATCGCATATACTACTATATTTCAAAATGACACTTTTGTGTTATCTGCTCCCTGTAAGCCTTTTCATGTGTCTCCTTCATCTCTTGCATGTAAGACAACTGAGAAAAAACCCTCACTTGCTTTCCTAATCTATACTTCCTTTAGCATTTATACCATGCAGAAGTATGCCCAAATCTGATAAACAGTGGCTGGAAGGGGCTTGTAGGGAGGGGAAGAAAGAGTGAGCACAGTCTAAGCAGAGCCCTGGGCCAGAGGCTGTGGAGGCACAAGATGACACCAGCTTGTAGGCTCTGCCTGGGCGCTTGCTCAGCGTTATATGAACAAATGAGCTCACAAGAAGTTAGTGAATTCAGGACGTAAAGTGATAAATCTCCAACGAGCATGGCTAGTCAGGGCTGCCAGGGGAAGCCCTCACTTACGGAGAGTTTAAGCTTTTGGGGGAGGGAGAAAGGCTTCAAAGGGGAAGCGGAGATTTGTCCTATGATCTGGAGACTTGGGCAGCAGGAAGAAGCCTGCGGGGTAAGTTGCCCCTGTTGTCTCCCATTTAAAGGGAGGGATTTGTAGTCCTGGATTTGGGACTTGGAGAGGAACAAAAGGGCATCCCAGGTCATTCCCACTGTCTCCACTCAGAATGAGTGGCATTGGGCATTTGGAGGGAAAATAGCACTTTTGTGTCCAACTGCACACTTGCAAAAAAGTTCTTGTGCCCCCGGTGTGTACCTACCGTCAGTGAATGTCAGTAGCCACTGTTCCTTTTAGGTTAGTATTTTCTGCTGGATGAGAAGTTGTTTGGTTTGGTGAAAACATGCCTAACGTCCCTATCTTACCTATTTTGAGGTAAATGAACCAAGTTGCATTCTTGTATTTTCTATTAATGGCAGTCAGTCACAGCTGTGCTAAGTTCAATTCAGGTTCCTTGGATTAAAAACAGGTACAGATTTTTACTTACCCACAACGGTTCCATCTTAAAGAGGGCCAGGCTTACCCACACTACTTCCTCTTTCAGACAAATGGACACCTACCCGGCAACGGAGATGTGTATCAAGAAAGGCTGGCGCGGTTAGAAAATGATAAAGAATCGCTCGTTCTTCAGGCAAGTGATTTTTAAATGCTGTTCTTTCTTCATGGCATGCTTACAAAGACATACCTACATTTTAAATTGGGGCGGCAAATTCAGGTGCTTACCGGAGCCAGACTGCTAGTCGTCGTAAGTGCAACAGGCTGGCTGTGTGCAATAGGGAGTGGTGGGGACTATGGCAGAACGAGGGTATGCATCCCCAGTCTGGGGGAGCAGCCGTTAATCAGCCTCGCTCGTCAGGGGCCAGGCTGTTGACAGGTACAATGTCATCTGACTTGATTTCCCGATCTATCATCTGATCTGATTTTTTTAATATGTAGCAGAAATTCTGATTTTATACTAAATATATGTATTCATAATATAGACTCATATATTTTTATAATATAGACTCTTAAATCTGAATAAGTACTTCTGAATCTGAATACATATATACTTAATGTTTCAGTTTGAATAATGATACCATGGACCAAACAAAACCTAGTAAGTGGGGAAGTCCTATTTGTAGGCTAAATTCGAGTTTTCTCCTTCAGAATGTTATCCCCCCCCCGTTATTTATTTATATGTATGTTTTAGTAAAGTATAGTTGACATACAATATTACATTAGTTTCAGGTGTACAGTGTAATGATGCAGTGTTTATGTGCCTTATGAAGTGATCACCGTGACGCCCAGTGACCATCTGTCACCGTGCCGTGTTATTACCATATTACTGACTGTATTCCTTATGCTGTACACTACATCCCCGTGATTTATTTGTTTTATAAATGGAAAATTGTACCTCCTAATCCACTTTGCCTTTTCACTCGTCCCCTCACCCTCCTCCCCTGTGGCAACCGTCAGTTTGTTCTCTGTACCTATGGGTTTGTTTCTGTTTCATTTGCTTGTTTTGTTTTTTCGATTCCACACATAAGTGAAATCACATGGTATTTGTCTTTCTCTGTCTGACTTAAGTCACTTAGCATAATGCCCTCTAAGTCCATCCATGTTGTTCTAAATGCTTGGCAGATATTTTTACTTTGATATTTTGAGCTAAATGAAGTACGTTTACTAGGCTGGTGATCTTTGTGGGGGAAACTCAGATTCGCAGTAAGCACCGAGGATGAAGGACTAACTGAGCAGCTCCTCATGGACCTTTGAGTTATACCCTGGCTTTGAACACGTGTGTGGATAATGTGATCATGAAAGATCACATGGAATTTGAATTCTCTGGGTTCTTTCCTTTATTCCTCATGAAGTATCACACTTGAATAGTCCTTGATAACTGCTCCTCCAAAAGTTAACTCCATTTTCTCTCTTAATCTCTAATAATGCCTTCTACCTTCACCTCACCCCAACCCCTCAAAAAGATAATCTGTGTACATGCTCCCTCTCATAACTGGTTGAAGTGGTTTTAACCTATAAAGCATCGCACATCCCCAATCAGCCCTAACTTTCTTAAAAATTGGAGTCTTCAGATCTCAAACACCACACACACAGGAGTGTAAAAGGCTGCTGTCCTATTAATTCTCAGAGTTTTGATCCCTTTATGCCCAAATGAGTGGTGACAGCATTCCAGTTTTCTATTTAGAAAAATGAAGTTTGCAGTGGGACCCAAATTCTTCCTAATCCATTGCAGTATTTTGTTCTAAATGCAGGTAAGTGTGTTGACAGACCAGGTAGAGGCTCAGGGAGAGAAGATTCGAGATTTGGAGTTTTGTCTTGAGGAGCACAGAGAGAAGCTGAACGCCACAGAGGAAATGCTGCAGCAGGTATGTGCGAAGCTGGCCCCAGGTGGAATTTTCCTGCTGAACTATTTGAGGTGTTCCATTTATATATCGTGTTTGCTCTGATGGAGCAGTAAATTTTGTGATTCACTTAGGCTAGCATATTTTAAGTAAAAACCTAGAGTAACAGGGACTCAAAACACATATAACAGTAAAAAGTGCTCATATAATTAGAATCTGAAATAAAATATTAATAGGATTACAGGTAATTTTAATTTTCTTCTTTATGCTTTCATATGATTTTCTAACTTCCCAACCATGAGCATATTTATATGATTAAGAAAAAAGATAAATACCGTATATGACCTTTATTAGGGAAAAAACTTGTACACACACACATGGTGCTCATATATGAGAGGACCTATAATATAATGGACAGAGTTCACACTGGAGCAAGACTGCTTAGGTTTGAGTCCCTGCTGTGCCGTTTCCATGCTGTGAGACTTTTGGCAAATTCTTAACCTCTCTGCTCCTCAGCTTCCTCATATGTTGCATGAGGATAATTCATGAGTTATCCTTGTGAGTTTCTACCTCATAAGGTTGTTTTGAAACTTCAACCGCTAAATTCATGTCAGAACCGTGCCTGGCAAACCCAACATCATCATCATCATTAGTGTTACCATCAGGCTTAACACTATATAGGGTTTATATATGTGTGTCTCTACATAACATGTCTCCCCAATAAGCAGACACCTGTTTAATTCTGCTCAGTGAAGATGAACTAAATTTTATCTATTTAGTAATTAATCTTCATCACATCCTCTATTTGATAGTTACTGCTTTGCAGTCATAAGTGAGGCACATCCAAACGTGGCTGTTTATAGTAAAACAACCTTTGAATGTATCTCTTAAATTCTAATAGGAGCTTCTGAGTAGAACATCCTTAGAAACTCAGAAGTTGGATCTGATGGCTGAGATATCTAACTTGAAGTTAAAACTGACAGCTGTAGAGAAGGACAGATTGGATTATGAAGATAGATTCAGAGACACAGAGGTAAGCAGCACCCTCTCTCTTTATATACAGAGGCATGCATATGCATACGTCACACACGTTCCCAGAGCAAGCTAAAATTCCTCGGGGTGGGAGGGGGAGGCAGCTAATGACCATGTGCCCTCATTCATCCATGCTTCTTTTTAAGAATCATCTTTAATTGCATTGAATTTTTATCACTGAATGCTAATGGCAATTTTTATTTTCAGATTTTTGATGTGAAATAGAAATACTTTCATTAGCTTTTAGAAGAACTTTAGATTTTAGGGCATTTGGAGTGTCCGTCTTTCTGTCTGTACGTCCGCCCATTCTCTGTTCATTCGTACTGGTTTTCTTCATTGTGAAAATAATGGGGTGAAGTATGTGATTTTACTGTTTATTTAGCTATTATTTAGGCATCCTGATTATTTGCTATATAATGGGTTTTTAAGTATGGATTGAAAACAGGCTTTCATTATATAATCATAAACATCACAGATTTTTAGAGGTCATTTAATTTGGCCGCCTACTTTTGATCTATTCCACACATAAATCATTCCAATTAAATAAAGCTCACTATCCTTTCATAAAATTCAGGGTAGATTCTGCAACTTGAAGTACCCGTTTTTGTGGCCAAACATACTTGTGTTTTATTTATTTTATTGTTAATCCCCTTCTCATTTGTTTATTTGTTTACTGCTTTGTTGGGGAGGAAAGCATATCCATTTGGCATTTATTTATTTGAAAAGAAATATAAAAGGCTGCAGAAATTCCTTCTCTGCTAAGGCCATCTCTTCTTTTTTCTCTATTTTGTTCCCTCGGTTGGGGTGTGGAGAGATGCCATACTGGAGGAAAGAAGTAGAGGTGTATTACATTACCCCCCCATCTTAATTTCAAACATTTATGTCCTGCTGACTACATGCCAACATGATACGAGGTGCATTACACATATTATCCACTGTATGAAAGCCCTTCACAGATTTGAATTGAATGAGATTTGCTCCATTGCTGTTTCAAAATTAAAATGTCTGTCAAAGATCTAACTATAATTGGAAGTCTTGCTGCATGTATCACTTCCTCAGTAGCGAAAGGAAATCCCTAACTTGGTGCACGCTTTAATCGTAGAGCTTTTTGTCAATCACCTGTATGAGCATGCTTCTCATTTGATTGAGACTGGGGCTCTTAGAACTCAGGAAGTTACCCAGTTTTTTAAAAATTTTGCTTTTGTGCTTTCTTTAAAAATAATTGTTCCGGCCCTGGTCAGTGTTGCTCAGTGGTTAGAGCGTCAGCCTGTGCACCAAAGGGTCCAGGGCTCAATTCCCAGTCAAGGGCACATACCTGGGTTGCAGGTTTGATCTCAGCCCTGGTAAGGGCACCTGCGGGAGGCAACAAATTGATGTCTCTCTCTCACATCGATGTTTCTCTCTCTCCCCCTTTCTTTCCCCATCTTTCCCTTCTACTCCCTCTAAAAATCAGTGGAAAAATATCAGGTTAGAATTAACAACAACATTTTTTCCTTACTGTCATTCATAGCATAGTAGTAGAATTCAGTCAACAGATAGATGACATGGCATGGAGCTAACTCTGGTGCAGGGAAAGAGGCTGCACTATTTGGGAATCGAGAGGTGGCCTTCTATGTCATATACACAAAGTTTAGGGGATGTCTTAACCTGCATGCCTGTGGGTAATTTGGATACAAAATGTTAACCAAACATCAGGACTTACTTGAAGTAGATGTTTTATGATTTTTTTCGTAAGACCCCAGAGCAATATTTACATCTCTTGAGGTTGTCTGCATTTTTATAAAACTTTTTTTTCCCAGCGCTGCATTCTCAATCATATGCAAAGTGATCTTGTCATTAACTCAACAGTGCCCCCTTCTGGTAGGAGCACAGATGTCAGAAATTGAGTTTCTGTGGAAGTCTGAAAATTCTCTAGAAGGGAAAAGGGAAAGGTAACAGGGATTTTCTTTTTTAAAAGGACTGAACTTTTGGGTTAAAAAAAAATAGTTGGAAATAATTTGTATTTCACTTTTTAAAGTTTCATAGTAAAGATGTATTTTCACATTTTCCAGCTGGAGTTAGCATAGGAAGATATAACTTCTTTCAAGTTGGTGATTTACATTCATATATACAGTGTTGCCACAAAGGATAATTGGGTAGTTGACGTTTATTAATAGAAAAATGGTCTCAATGTATAGTTCTATTTTCTTCAATTGTTTCTTCTTCTTTGCAAATTGCTACTATTTCTAAAGGAAGTGGTAAAATGCAATAATACCTAACAGGAATTCAAAGCTGTTTCTTAACAATGAGAGAGGGGGGGAAAATATATTAAAAAGACTAGATTGATGAGAGAATATCACTAAGAACACATATTTTGCAGGGATAATTAACAAATGGGAGAAACTGACTTTTTTCTTGAACTTGAATTCTGAACTTATAGATAAGGAATCACAACTAAAATGTTATTAAATGATGTCAAATAGTTCTTGACCTCATTTGTAACAGGAGAAAATAGACACCCTCTTATCGAAACATTGTTTTAATAATATTAATAGGTAATTATTAAATAATAATGCTAGATAATACTTTTCCTCGTTTTGCAAGCAACACTTTAACCCAAGAACAATTTAAAAGCCTGTGAGTTTTCTGGAAAGTGTATTTCATTGTACCATCCCTTTTCCTAGCCTTTGTGAGTTTGTAACTTAGAAGTTTAGAGTAATTCCTTGTTAACAAAGTTTTATTTTCTATATAACATTGTTCTATTTTTTAAAAAAATAAATGTTTTTATTGATTTCAGAGAGGGAACGGGGAGAGAGACAGGCAGACAGACAGACAGATACATCAATCGGCTGTCTCCTGCACATCCCCTACTGGGGACCCAGTCCGCAACCCCGGCATGTTCTGTCCCTGACCAGGTATAGAACCAGCGACCTCCTGGTACATGGTACAGTTCAACCAACTGAGTCACACAGGCCGGGCTATTTTTTTTTTTAATGGCATTTTTGTATAATTCTGTTCTGTCGTACATGAATTTGTGACTCAGGAGTGTCAATGCCTTGTAAAAGAGAGGAACAAAGACACTTTAACCATAGGTAGGGCCTTCATGGCTTGTAGTAAAAGAAAAAAATCATCTCCTTCACAGAGTATTTAACCCCCCCTTTTTTGGAATTTTCCTACTCTCTGGGCTCTGAACAAAAAAAAACATATCACTATTTCTCACAATATTTATTGAAATTTTACAAGCAAATCAGTTTTTTATAAAGATGACAATAGAAAAGGTGTCTGATTACATTTGTATTATGAAAACATTAGGTTTGCTATCTTTTTCATTTTCCAAATATAAAATTATATTATGATACAATGTATTTTTAAATGACAGGGACCTCATCCATGCTCAGGTTGAGAATCTTTGGTTTGAAGGATGTACATTTCATTTCATACTCCCAGATTGGGTTGATGAACAATCTGTATTTTATAGACAAATGAAGAAATTATAAAACTATTCTTATAGCTCTAGCCAGTTTTTCTCAGTGGTTAGAGCCTTGACCCTGGGACTGAAGGGTCCCGGGTTTGATTCTGACCAAGAGCCTGTACCTCGATTGCAGGTTCCCCCCTAGTCAGGCAACCAATCGATGTGTCTCTCTCACATTGATGTTTCTCTCTCTCTCCCTCCCTCCCTCCCTCCTTTCCATGCTCTCTAAAAAAACAATGGAAAAAATGTCCTTGGGTGAGGATTTAAAAAAATAAATAAAACTATTCTTATAAACACCCACCATGTCACTGAAAACACTCTAAAAATGATTNGGGTGAGGATTTAAAAAAATAAATAAAACTATTCTTATAAACACCCACCATGTCACTGAAAACACTCTAAAAGTGATTGGTTTTGCTAAAGAAAATCTCTCTGGTTTATTTTATTTTATTTTATTTTATTTTATTTTTTAAAGTTTTTTTTTAATTTTATTTTTTTAAAAATATATCTTTATTGATTTCAGAGGGAGGAAAGGAGAGGGAGAGACAGAGATAGAAACATCAATGATGAGAGTCACTGATCGGCTAGCCCGCAACCCGGGCATGTGCCCTGACCGGGAATCAAACCCGATTGCCTGGATCCTAGGTCGACGCTCAACCGCTGAGCCAAGCCCAGCGGGCCTCTCTGGTTTATTCTAAAAGACACAGTTTATATAGTGAATTTTATATAGAAATATCTGATCAGTGATAGTAAGTGATTAGCTACCTTTCTGAATCAAAAGTAGCCCCCTTCATTTTTATAATCCCATCATTTTAGGGCCGAGGCATTAGGAATTAAAAGCGGTGCTTTAAATCGAAAGATAGTTCTCAAGGAGAAATACTTGTTTTTATTTGTCTGATCTAAGTTATATAACTTTAACCAGGATTTAAGGTGGTTGATTTAAGATTTCCAAGCTGCTATTTTGGTATGTTTAAGTGTATTACCACTTTTGTAATGTATTTCCCTGTTTCTTTCTGGACAGGAGCTAATGCAAGAGATCAATGATTTGAGGTTAAGAGTCAGCGAAATGGACAGTGAAAGACTTCAGTATGAAAAGAAGCTGAAAGCAACCAAAGTGAGTTTTCTCAATGACAGCAATTTTTAAACAAATGGCTCTACTGCTTATCTGTGATCAATAATAGAAATGCAGTGTGTTTTCTACTCAGTGTATGATAAAGAAGGTATTTTACAAGTGAGTGAAATTTTTCTCTGATGTGGAGACTGTCCTGATTTAAGCACTATTCTGAATAAAGTCCAGGGCTTACCTAATCTGATACAACATGACCTGTCATTTCTCTTAATGACCTAACCTCCTGTGTACACAATGATACTATTTCCTTGATCACTTAGCATATCTTTTTCTGTCTATAGTTTTCCTTTCCCTCCTCTGTCTCTCTACCAGTCTTTAATGGCCAAACTTTCTAGCATGAAAATCAAGGTGGGTCAGATGCAGTATGAAAAGCAGCGGATGGAGCGAAAATGGGAGTCACTGAAGGTGCGGTGGACGTTGGGGAGTGGGGGTCCATGCTTGCTGCTTTCTGGCTTGTGGTGTTGCTGTGACGGTTTGGATGTGACAGTGTTCTTAGTGGTATGTGCATTCATTTTGTCTGTGTGTCCCCTGTTTTTTGTGGTGTTTTTTTTTTAATATGTTTAAAGCTGATTAAAGGGACAATGTGATCCTCACTTTGTTTTCAGGAACATATGAAATAATTAGTGAAAAATAATTAGCAAGTAAATAAAAGTATTCGTTTATAAATTGAATCTCACTCTCTTACACTATCTGAGATCCAGGCTTGGTAAAACAATTACGACAAGTTCACCTGTGAAAGAATTCTTTCCCGTACCCACAGTAGACATTGCTTTCCTCCTTTGGGACTTTCTCGAAGGTGAATGTATTCAGCAGTTAACTGTCACGGCGGTGAATGGAAATTACCGTTGAGAGTAAGAACAGTAAGAACAGGGCAGCGCTTCTTGCCAGTGCTACCGAAAGGTTCTTGTGCTTGGCATCTACTCCTCCCACAAGGAAATTTCTTAGCTTCGTTAGAGAGCTACATCTCGTAGCACTGAAAGTAATCAGTATCTTTGGAGACTGAAAATAAAATGTTTGAAAATAAAATCATAGTTTCCTGTGTTAATTACAGCCAGCAAAATTTAAATTTGCTAAAGCTCTTTTCCAAAATGAAACTGAAAGTTAAAACATTAGTAAATAGGTAGAACACTGGACGTGGGATCTTTAATAGTTGTGTAGTTTTAAAAAAGAAGAATTAAAATCTGTTTTCTAAATCTATTTTTTTTTTTTTTTTTTGCATTGTTGTCAGAGATTGTATCTTTGTAATGAGGATAAGTATTTGGGCCTAAGGTTTGGCTAAAGTTATTCATTATATGCTACCTTACCCATTAATTAAGCTCCACCTTGTGCAGGGAACCTAAATGCCACCTTAAAATGCTGTATAAATGTCAAGCAAGTCTTAATATGCATTTTCCAATCTGCATTTTATTTCGCTTTTATGACACTAAGCATCTAATTTGATTATCTCTTCTGATTAACTTGGTCAAATTTTTTTTATTTAACATGACAGATAAACCTTAGGGCTACCTTGGTCCTACCTACACTTTAAAAGGTTTCTTTTTTAACTTGGGCACAAAGACACTTGGAATAGCTCTGCCATAATTACTGTAAATTAGACTTGAATAATCGCCTTTCTTCTTGTTTCTCATTGCCACTGTCTGAGTTCAGAAGTCTGCGTTTAAATCCTTGTAGTTTTTTGTTTTATTCACAAAAACTGTTGACTTAAAAGCGTACCCTCTGAACATTCTCTTTTATTCATAATCTACCCTTCTAAGATGAATTTGTCATTTGTAGGATGAACTGGCATCTTTAAAAGAACAACTGGAAGAGAAAGAATCTGAAGCGAAAGGGCTGCAAGAGAAGCTGTTGTGCAAGATGAAAGGAGAAGGGATCGACATTTTCGACCGAGGTAGGAATATGTCTTTAACGCTGGCTATCTTATTTTGTTAAAATCCTCTGAGATCTGCAAAAGAAACGGATGTTAGTCGATGTGTCCTGTTAGCATCAAAGGAAAGAGTGGCGGAAGCCGTCTAGCCTAGGATCATAGGGAATCCTCCAGGATCACAGGGAATCCTCCAGGATCACAGGGAATCCTCCAAGACTCTTTCCTGTGCTTGGGGATCTATAAACTTCCTCGTCAGCCGCTGGAGAAGGGCAACTCTGTACTGCGTTGGGTGCATATTTTAGATTAGGAAATTGTAAATTACCATCGTGAGAGAGTTCTCGTCAAATTGCAACATAAGGGAGTATCGAAAAGCATGGAAAAGGGACCGTTACTATGTCCCAAGATTATTTTCCCTTAAACTGAACTTGAGACAACAGAAAGACATTTAGAAACCTTGTCTGCCCTGTTGAGAGAAGAAAGGCTCTGTATCTTTGGGGGCAAAAAAAAATCAACGAAAATTTCTTATCATGCATTGAGCCCTTAACCTTCTAGAAAGCAAAAACAGGCTAATTTCTTTTTGGAAAAGTGCATGAATTTATCCAAAAATTGTTTTCATAATTGAGGCAGTTTGTCCTAGATTTACGTGGACTGTGATTTTTAATGTAGCGTTATACTTGATAGAAAAATAACTGAAATGAATGAAATGTGTTTTTCTGAGTTATATTTGGAAATACAAATACACGTAACATTTGACAACACTAGATCAAATTTAACCTTTCCTTGTTGTTACAAATGATGACACTGGCAGAAAACAACTTCTGATTCATTTGAAACAGAACAAATTACATTTAGTATAGTTTTAGTACGTTTTTATCTGGTATGTGAACATTGATATTGTTATTGTCTATTCAATGAGAGGCTTGAATTAGATTATCTCTCAAGTCTTCTTGGCTCTGGAATGCCCTGGCTTTATATGCCTGTAGGTTTCACAGTTATCTGTCCATCAGAAAACGTAATTCATCAAGCATTGAGAAAAATGGATTTTTTTCCCCCTCCGTAATTTGGCATATGTAGAATTGTATGTTCTTAAAGGACATTCACAAACAGGTCATGCTTTTAGGATTTTAAGAGAGAAAAAAAAGGAATCATAGGACTTGTAGGCTAGAGGGTATGTTAGAATAGTACTACCCAAAGCCTGAATCAGGGACTGGTGCCAGTCGGTGAACTGTTGGTCCCGGTGCGCAACCAAGTAAATACAAGGACCGACAGCAAGTGTTTAGAAACTTCACAGCAATCTGGCGTTGACATAACATCTAACATCATGATCAGTAGACTCATCTCATTGAACAGAAGCTGCACCATGTCAGTGTTATTGAACTTGAGCGGTGAGTTGAACATGACAGAAACAATGTACTGGTCACGATCAGGAGGGCCGAACATGGAACTGTAATGGAAATATAAAACACAACCAGTGGGACATCAACCGGCTTTTCATCACATTCTGTGTGAGGAGTGCTTGCACTCTATAGGCTGGATTTTAATGTGAGAAAATCAAGGTTCCGAAAGGTGAAGTAACAGAGGTAGTAACTCAAGTTTAGGTCTTCTGGGTTAATTACATTAGACTCTCCTTTTCACTGCACACAGAGCATTATGTAGTGAAATACCAGGGCTGGAGTCGCAAAATAGTGCTTCATAGTCAGTCTTTATGAGGTTAGAGTCTCTTTATTTAGGTAAAAGGAGACAAAATAACAGTGCTTTAAAAATATTATTTACTGTTGTAATGTGTGCTAACTTCCAATTCAATGGGTTTTCCTGCACAGATGAAAATTTTAAAAAGAAGCTCAAAGAGAAAAGTAAGGTTTTTGGTGTATTTCCATCAGCCTTTACGTTCACCGAAAGTAATACTTGGACTGTTCTTTGCATGTGTTTTTAAAGCATTTCTCTCACCAAGAATGTAAAGTTGCTTCATCGATAAGCTCTCCATTTCTTCAGAGTGTACAAAATAGAGGGTGAACAAGCAATAAAAACGGGGAGTAAAAGACCCCTTTGCGAACTTTATCTGGTTCAGCCCTTTTGCTCCACAGGATGCGTCAGGGCACCCAGAGTGGCGGGGGTGAGAAAGCTTTTTCTCTGTGGCCCAGGGGATGCCGGGTCAGAGAAGCAAATAATGTTTGCCCTCCTATAAAAACCTACTGTTTTTGAGGTTTACCATAGTTGAAAGATGGTTTCAAACTTTGCTTTTGCTTTTCAGTGTTTTGTAACCAACTTTTTCACTGAGATCTACTTAGAGGTTTCTTTAAACACACCCTCTTGGTGTTTCCAACGAGATTCTAATTGTTTAATTGCATTAAATAATCCAGGCTGTTTAATGGAGCCTGGATTCCTTAAGGGAGCATAAAGATAAATCCTTAAAGGACTCTCTCCTCCAGACTTTGAATTCTTAAGTCAAGGGAATTTGCCTTAAAAAAGAAAGAAAAAGAAAGGCAATTCCTATAGAATATTTTAATTGAAAATGGTTTCTATCAGTATTGAATGATCCATTACTGTTTTAAAAATTATCTTTAGTAGTTTTTTCTTTCTCAAAAGAAGGCAATTTTAGCTGAAATTTTTGTCTCTGTTTCGAATTTTTTCATTTGTGATTTCATCCTAGGTTGACATTCGATCTTTAGACTATCTGCTTTTTATTATTAAAGTAACATGCTTTTGTATTTTAATATCAAATTTTAAGGGAAATCACATTCATCTTTGGCTTTTATGTTTTAAAATAGCATTTGGAAATGAAGTTTATAGATGAAGCAAAGTACTTAATATCCTTCGGTATGGACCCTGCAGCCGGCCTCTGAGCATGACCCCTCGTGCAAACACCACGTTCCATCAGGCTTACCGTTTGTGTCTCCATCTTGGTTATAACTGAATATCATTTTGTCTGCTTCTGTCATTGCGTGCACTTTGTTCATTGCTTTGACCCACTGCTTTATAGGTTTCTTTGTTGAAAACTCCGTGTTTTTATTGTCATAGCACCGAAATGTCATTTTCAGTGTCCTCGTGAAGGTTTTGTTGTTGCTTTGAGAGAGGGTATTTAGCTCTCACTTACCCTTATTTTCTTTCTGGAATGATGACTATTCAGGTGAGATAGAAGATGTTCATTTTTCAGATTTTCCCCTAAAAGAGAATACGGATGGTAAATGTGCCCTTTTAAAAAACAAAACAAAACAAAACAAATCAAGTCAGTAACATCTTTACCTTAAAACAATTTAACCTGAAGGGTCAGTAGCTTCTCGTTACTGTCGCACACATTAACTAAACTGACTTCTGATTTAATGTTCTGATATTTTCAGATATTGAAGTACAAAAAATGAAAAAGGCTGTGGAGTCTTTGATGGCAGCAAATGAAGAAAAGGTATCTAGATGAAATTTAAATACTTATTTGGATGTGTTATAGCACCATCTTGGTCATTCCATGCATTTTCTTGAGATCTTGCCACTTGAAAGAACACACCCTATGCCCTACTGACATTAAGGGGCAAACATTCTCCCTTCCTACCCAAGTGTGCCCACCGTCAAGGGTCACCGTCATCGTGGCCGTGCATAGGAATGGAGACCAGCAGCATTGGCCCCACTGAGAATTCTCTCTCCCCTCTGCGCATGAATTCAGAAAATGTTGGCGTTATCAAATCAGTTCTTTATATTCAGAGATTGAATATAAAGAACTGGAGATTTGGGCTGCTGTGTGAGCTCTGAAGGAGGTGACCCATGACAACTTGAGCTTCATGGTCACGTTCATTTTCTTCTTTGTATATGTTATTTTCTTCATACTCCTGACCTCTTTCATCGGGGATCGTCTGTGCCCTCCTGAGTGGTGGGATGCCAGAAAAGAGAGGCACAGGCGTCAGAAAATCAGTCTGGCCCTAGGCCTTGTTTTAGCTCTGATGGCCCAGTGCCACGTGTCCAGGAGTTTGTTTCCTCTGGTGGTTTCTCCTCATTCATCCTGCTGAGAGTGCTAAGAGCGCTAAGAGCAGGGACACAGTTACCCTACTAAGGAAGCGTGTCTCTTCACCGCTTTCCTGACCAGCTGTCCAGGCAGCAACAGTTGGCTCCAGCTCCTGTCGTCAGAACTGCTCTCCCCTTGTGAGGAATTTTCCCAAGAACTTTGTCTTGATCTGTCTCCCATCATGAGTTTCTTTTTCTAATTCCTGCCTAATCTGTTTCACTTGTCACTTATTTTTGCCTTTCATTCTCTTTATTTATTCTTTATTCCATGGAAATAAACTCATTGTCTTCTGAGGAGTAGCAGGGGTTGTGCATCAGGAAAATGAAGGCTCCTAGGCAAAGCGTCCATTAGTGAAACCATGTTTCAGACCAGGCTTCAATTGGCCCAGTGCATGCCGTGAAAGTCCTGGAACATGAGATGCAGGTGGAAGGGTGTATGAAGCTAACAAAAGAGTTACACCGAATGGTGGGCAACCTTGTATGCTAGGCTAATGATCTGGGGTCTTTGCTTGTAGGCCTGGGGCAGTGACATAACTAAATTGCCATTTTGGAAAGCTAACTCCAGTGTCAGAACGGGGGCAGGAATAAGGGAGAGTAAAGACTGAACAATTAAGAAGCTGTTAAAATAATGTAGATGAGAAATGAAGAGGGGCTGCAATAAGGCAACGGCAGTGAAGTGTAAAGGAGGGAAGATATTTTATTATTTTTTAATCCTCACACGAGGATATTTTTTCCATTGCTTTTCAGAGAGAGTGGAAGACGTGGGTGGGGGTGGGCGGTGGAACATTGATGTGAGAGAGACACATCAATTGGTTGCCTCCGGCATGCGCCCTGACCAGCACCGGGGATGGAGCTCGCAACTGAGGTACGTGCCCTTGGCCTGAATTGAACTCTGGACCCTTCAGTCCTCGGGCCAACGCTCTAACTGCTGAGCAAAACCAGCTAGGGTAGGAGGGAAGATATTTTAGAGAAATTTACAGGTTGACAAGATATTAAAATCTTTGAATTTGAGGGTAAGTTTCTGGTTTGATCAGTGGGGTAAATAATGATGTCCTCCAAGAGTTAAGGGTATCCAGAGGCTGAAGTATTGGGGGCAAATAGTGAGCTTCATTTTAGATACATTCAATTTGATGTGTCCATGGGACATCTAAAAGGAAGTTTCTCATAGAGAGTTGAAAATAAATTTAAACTTTAGATTGGTGGGGAGTGAATCTCATCAATTTTAGAAAAAATACATAGGTAGTTGTAGTTTGGTGGGGACTAAACTATAGTTGCTGCATCAGTTAGCTTTTGCTCCATGACAGATCACATTTATTATTTCTCATGCTCCTGAGGGCTGGCTAGGTGGCTCTTCTGGGCGGGGCTGCCTTAGCTGCTCTCTACAGTTAGCCCGGGGCTGGGATGGGGCTGGATGGTGCCGGATGGTGTGACTCACGTGTCTCGTGATTGACAGACTAGTCTAGGCTGGCCCCAGCTGAGATGTCTCTTTTCTAAATGTTCTCTTATCTTCCAGTAGACTAACCTACGCTTCTTCACATAGTGGCCTTAGAGGAGCAAGAGAGGGAAAGCCCCAGTGTGTAAATACTTTTAAGCCTTTGCTTAAGGCACATTTGTCGATGATCTCTTACCGGCCCAAGTGGGTCCACAGTCAAGCCCACATCAGCGAGGGAGGAGCTCGGGAGCTCATTGTTATCATCCGCCACAGCAAGCGCCTGGAAAAGAGAAGAGGGCAGGCACAAAACCTGAAAGCTCCGTCCTTGGAGTCTGGGTTGGTAGATGGTGGCGGTTACAGAAGGACAGTATCTGCGCGGTCAGGGGATTAAGAGATTGGAAAAGAGTGGGAAGAAAAGTAAAAGAGGAAGGAAAGAGTGGAGTCAGTAAAGTGCCAAACAGAGATCAAATTAGAATAGGGATGAAAGTGCTCATTGTTTTCAGTAAATAGGTCTCTGGTGACTGATTGAAGGGAGTGTTTTGAGAAGGGAAAAGCCAGGTGGTGATGAGGGACAGCTGATGAGACAGCAGGTGTACATCTGTTTTTCAAGACTTGACATATAAGTTAGAGAGGAAAGTCATTGAAGTTGATTTTTTTCTTGGGTTGGTTTTTATTTTGTATCTTATTACCTTGTTTTGTTTTTGTTTTTTAAAGATGGCAGCTGAAGGATAGGATCTCTAAACTTAGAGGTACTTTTTCTATATGTCTGATGTACGTAGGAAAAATGTTCTAGATAGTACCAGTTTTACTAAAGTTTAGAAGTATCCTTTGAATAACGTAAATAATTCACGTCTACTTATCTTTGTGCTTCCACTACTTTTACCATTTTAAAATCATAGTATGAAAGATAATCATTTATTTTATTAATAGGATCGGAAGATAGAAGATCTTCGACAGTGCCTGAACAGGTACAAGAAAATGCAAGATACAGTGTTACTGGCCCAAGGTAAAAAAGGTAGTGTGGCTCTAAATGGTTTTCTACTTAACTTGACTTTAAGTGGCCATGATCTTTTATATTTGGCCTCCATTTATCTATGGAGCGTACCCATCGTCCCAAATTAGACAGCTCATTCATTCATTCATTCATTCATTCATTCATTCATTCATTCAAGGGTATTGTTAGGCACCTGTTCTCTGCCTGCAAGCGTATAGTCTAAAGAGCATACAAAGGAGAGCCTCTCTAAGGAATCCATTAGATAGCTTTCCAGGGACAGAATACAACAGTACATGCAAGAACTGTTTTTGCAGGAGTAGGGGTGGGGGTGGGGAAGAGTTGGTGTTTTTAAGACATAAAAGACCAGTGCTGCTGGAAGGTAGTGATCAAGGGAGAGAGATGGAATGATAGAGGCGAGCACCAACCAGGTCATGCAGGTGAGGAGTTTCTTTCTTGGCCGGGAGGGATCCACTGAAGAGTCTTAACAAGTGAACTACATGATCTTTGTAGCAAATAGACCAGAGTGGGAGGGAGCAGTGTCGGAAGGAAGGAAAGCTATTTGAGAGACTCTTGCAGGATTCCATGAGGAACGATCTGAGGGTACGAATTGGAAATGTATTTTGGTGTTTGAATCAACATGATGATGTGTGGAATTAGATGAGGTGAGTGAGGAAGAGGAAGGATCAAGAAAGATCTCCGATGAAGGCAACTGGGAGGGTGGTGGTTCCATTTAACGAGACAGAGCAGCCTAGAGAAGGGGCACTGGGACAGCTAAGGGGGGCTGTGTTTAGCTCTGAATGTGTTTTAAAAAAACCTAAAAACCCCTAAGACATTTAAGTAAAGATAGTCATGCAGTTTGTTATATTTAGTATTATTTTATCTGTAGATAGGCCAAATTGAAAAAGCTTGGGTAGTCATTAAAAACAAACAAAAATGTTATGGACTATAAAAGTTCTCTTGTTTATTAGCGATACGTAGAGTGGGTTATCTGCTCTAAAAATAAGCACTGGAGATTAACAAGCCTTTTCGAAGGTACTCGTGAAACACTCAAATTTCGAAATTTTAATTTTAATTGTGTTTACAAAGATAATCTTGCTTTGGATCAGAATTTTTGAAAAAAAAAAAA